ATATAGCCTTTCCTCGAAGATTGTTTATTTATGCTCTATTTTGGTACTGCATGAGTTCTGCATTTCGAATCAATTGTTTTTAATTACAAAAAAAAAGTTCTTGGGAGTTTTTGCTTGCTTACTCTGCTTCAATGGTAATTTAGCAGACAAGATTGTGGGCTTACTATTTCAATCTTTTATTATCTTATTTAGACTTCTTTTCCTCTTCATAAGCTGTAGCGGATAAAATGTTCCGCGGCTGTAATATCCTGTGCATCTTCTGTAGAAGTAATTTTTATGCGACATATTGGATCTCCCTTCATTTCTTAGGTATCACGTGAAAACTATCGCGAAGCGTATGTAATGGTGGATCCGAGCACAATGACCTCATGGTTCATTCAAGGCACCAACTGCAACAGAGCTATTGATGGTGATATCGTAGCAGTGCAACTGCTACCTGAGAACCAGTGGACTCTTCCTGAAAAGGTTCAAAAGTCTATATGCGCTGTAGTGTGCCTCTTATTGTTACTTTGTAGAAAGTCTGCTTACGTGATGTGGAGGATATGGAGTTGGATTCCGCTGATTTTGATGCTGAGGAAGAGACAGATGAAGAGGTTCCTAAAGCAAAGCGAGCTAAACTCACGCTTATTCCTACGGCAAAGGTCAGGCAAAGCTCCACCATTTACCAGTTTTAAGCATTCATCTTTTTGCGAAAATACTTAACCTTCACTCAGGCACACCCATTATGTAAGTTTCTTACAGGTTGTGGGTATTATGAAAAGAAACTGGAGACCATATTGTGGTATCTTGATGCGCAGCCAGCTCAAAAGCGCTAGGCGGCATCTGTTCTGTCCAAGTGATCGTCTCATCCCTAGAATTAGGATTGAAACGGAGCAGGTAATGAATGTACATATCTTGTCCATTTTTCCTCTAGTTTGCTACGCATTTTCTTACACTGCTTTGGCATCAAAATTTAGAAATTTGTCTTTGTTCTAGGCAGATATCCTCGAAAGCCAACGAATCGTGGTAAGCATTGATCAGTGGCCTCGTGATAGTAAATATCCCCTTGGACATTACGTACGTGCATTGGGTAAAATTGGCGATCAGGAGATTGAAAATGAGGTAGGCTTTCAGACATATGTATTTTATTACTGAACAGATTTAGGAATAACGTCTTGAATTTGATTTGGAGACCTCCTTGAACTTTTCTTCTCATATTGTGAACTTTTTACGTACTTTTCCATGAGAGCTCCTTGGCAGTCCTCTGCAACTGGAAAGCTGTTGTAACGCACACATAACAAAAATTCTTAATATCAGGTACTTCTCCTGGAGCATGATATTCCTCACGCACCATTTTCTGATGCAGTACTCGAATGCTTGCCTGGCGAAAACTGGAAGCCCGACTTGCAACCACCTCGAGTCGATCTGCGGCATCTGACCATATGCTCTGTATGACTGAAATCTTACAAGCTTACTTTTCTTCTTCTATTTGTTTGATCAATTTTTAATACAAAAATGCTTGGGGACTCATGTGTTGAAGCATTTAGGTTGATCCTCTGGGATGTACTGATATTGACGATGCTTTACATTGTCGTCC